TGGACACATACAGACACAGATGGAGGAACACGTGGACACATACAGACACAGATGGAGGAACACGTGGACACATACAGACACAGATGGGGGAACACGTGGACACATACAGACACAGATGGAGGAACACGTGGACACATACAGACACAGATGGGGGAACACTTGGACACATGCAGACACAGATGGGGGAACACGTGGACACATACAGACACAGATGGGGGAACACGTGGACACATACAGACACAGATGGAGGAACACGTGGACACATACAGACACAGATGGAGGAACACGTGGACACATACAGACACAGATGGAGGAACACGTGGACACATACAGACACAGATGGAGGAACACGTGGACACATACAGACACAGATGGAGGAACACGTGGACACATACAGACACAGATGGAGGAACACGTGGACACATACAGACACAGATGGAGGAACACGTGGACACACAGACACAGATGGAGGAACACGTGGACACATACAGACACAGATGGAGGAACACGTGGACACATACAGACACAGACATTGACACACATTGACACTCATATAAACACAGATTGAATGAAGGCTTGCAGAAACAAATACAGACGCAGGTAGAAGAACAAATTTACTCCCAAAGAGACACAGATGGAGGAACACAATGACACTCCTGCAAACACAGATGGAGGAACATGTACATGAGACACAGTGGCAAAGAGATGGAGAAACACGTTGCGACACATAACGACACACCGAGTGTGAGTCACAGAGACATCCAAACTGTACATACAGATAAAGGTTGAGACACAGACACACACAGACAGACATATAGATGGAGAAACACATAGAAACACAGTTAAAATCCAGTCATCATCAATGTATTCAAAACTTCAGAACTGATAATGTGGTTTCAACAAAACTACCGGTCTAGCAAATATTCGTTTACTACAACATTCAATGTATGTGTGCCAATGCATTTTTGGAAGTAAACAAGAAAGAAATCGATTAAAATAGTGTTTTTCAAGTACAAGAGAATGTTCGAAATATGGCATTTTTCTATATTCGACAAATTTCTTTTTACGTCACAAGGAACGTCTAATGTCATAAAAGTGATGTTCGGTTAAAACTAAACGTGGCATGGGTAACTTATATTTTCGTTATGGATGCCCACTTATTACAAAAAGCGGGACTATCGGTGCCAGTCAAATGTGTGATAATTGTAGTTATCATATAAACAAAAAGACAATGTTTGAGTATTGGCACCGTTATGCTTCGTTTAAGGGTTGACCTTGTAGCGTATGACTGTCATTTATTGATTTCTCCGTTTTCATCAATACAACGGCTTGATCGCTGAACGTTGATGCATCGTATTATCAGCAGCTGCCATACTTGACACATTGATAATATCATACAATATGAGACCAGTTGAGGTTTCGGGTAACCTGAGGACGTCAACACCCGATGTTTGTCAGATGGAGATTGAAGACAGTGTGATCACACTGTGTCATCTGGCTGTCCTCGAAGCTCGACGGTGTGTCTGTGGAGCGTTGTTGATACTCGAACCGCTGGTGTGCCTGGCCCATATTAGACTTTAACAGTCATTTGTGGCACAGCCTCCGTGGTCTTGTGGTAGAGCGTCCGCCCGGAGAGCGGAAGGTCCGGGGTTCGATATGACGGCCGCGTCATACAAAAAGACGTTAAAAGATGGTACTTGTTGTTACCCTGTCTGGCACTCGGCATTAAGGGGCTAAAACAAGGACTGGTCGGCTCGGAGTCAGTATACTGTGTCTGAGTGGGGTATTCATGTTAAACTGAGGCATGGTATCTCAGTGAGCTAGCACTATCAATCGGCATCAGTCCGGACTAGTACAAGCCGCCACACACACACATACACGTGAATGCACGTCGCTATATAAGTGCAATAATCTTGGACGCGACGTTAAACCCAATTTCACCTCACCTCACCTATTGCTGATGGTGACTGAAAACAACATTCATTCTCACCTATCTGCTGCCCTCACTAATTGGTGAGGGGTCGTGGGGTAGCCTAGTAGTTAAAGCGTTCGCCCGTCACGCCAAAGACCCGGGTTCGTTCACCACACCTGGTGCCCCCCTTCTCCGATAATGCTAAAAAATACTAAAAGCGGCGTAAAACCATACTCATTCACTTATTGTGTTTAGCAATATTCTAGCAATATCACAGTAGGGGACACCATATACGGGCTTCACCTATTGTACCCATGTTGGGAATGAAACCCGGCCTTCGGCATAACGAGCAAACGGTATACTACCCCATCACTCCTACAAAGTCTTTATTTTAGTCCTCTAATGCCAAGCTATAGTACAACAAAGCAACGTCCAGTAGTCCAATGTATATTCACGATCGTGTTTCAAGATAATTCCGCTTGATCCCTCGTTACTGGAAATAACATCGGTAATAAAAGCAACACCACCATGCGATTAGACCACGTCGTCAGTGTCTGTGTGAAGATGGTCGCGGCCACCTCGGTTAACGAATATGTCACGTACAAATGCAAGTTTATCAATACTCTGTTCTACAGACCGCCTCCGTGGTCTAGAAGTAGAGCGTCCGTCCGGAGAGCGGAAGGTCCGGGGTTCGATCCCCAACCGCGTCATACCAAAAGACGTTAAAAGATGGTACTTGTTGTTACCCTGTCTGGCGCTCGGCATTAAGGGGCTAAAACAAGGACTGGTCGGCTCGGAGTCATTTTACTGTGTCTGAGTGGGGTATTCATGTTAAACTGCGGCATGGTTTCTCAGTGAGCTAGCACTATAAATCGGCATCAGTCCGGACTAGTACAAGCAGCCACACAAACACACACACGTACATGCACGTCGCTATATAAGTGCAATAATCTTGGACGCGACGTTAAACCCCATTTCACCTCACCTCACCTCTGTTCTACAAATACATGTCCGTATACGTATACAGAGATTATCACGCGGGCGTATTTTGGGTTGGTAGTTATCCTGTATTGGAAATATATAATCAGGATATTTATCATCACCAAACACACAAGCGTGATATTAGAGTGAGTTGGTACCTCTTTATCATATAATATTCTTAAATTCTATATCTTCGAAAACTATTCTCCTCTCTCACAAACGGTACCCAAACATAGCACGTTTTCCTTGAATGCGCGCATTAATATATCACGTCACGAGATCTTTGATTAATCAGTCGGACAGGTACAAAAGGAAATATTGTTCCAACTAAAACGTGTTGCTTTGACACTGATTTTAAGTATATTGTACTATTATGTTGATATTGTGACAAAAGCATGGTTTGTTCAAGCTATGTGACGGTAGTCTGCAAATAATGGAGTCTTGCCCAGACAACCTACTCAATTGGGATACAATGACATGCATCCCCCACGCCAGCTGGCCTGACCACCCGATCTCGTTGGGTCTCCTTTTATGTCAAGCGTGGGTTGCTGAAGACCTATTCTTAATCGGATCTTCACGGGTTTCGCTGTGATGAGATTTGAATTGACGTAGCGGCACTCTCTGGTTGAGGTTATAGTAATTGTTGGCTATGCTTAGAAACATCGATTTGTATTTGATAAAAACATATCAGCGACTTACATTGAAGCTAATTACTGCACTTGTTGGATAAAATGGACCGATGTTAATTATCAATGAAGAGGAATAGCTTGACAGCTAAAGCAACACAGGGTACATAGTTAAACACACTCAATGGATGTTAGTGTGTCTCGGGGCGCGTTTCTGTAGATTCTGAGACGAAATTGACAATAAAGTGCATCTCCTCGCTGTAAATTAGTAATGCTTTGTGTAATAGTGAGTGAGTGAGTGAGTGAGTTGGGTCTTCAGCAACCCATGCTTGCCGTAAAAGGCGACTAACGGGATCGGGTAGTCAGGCTCGCTGAATTGGTTGATGCATGTCATTGTAACCCAACTGAGTGAATCGATGATAAAATTCACTGGATTGTCTGGTCGAGACTCGAATATTGTCAGACCGCCGTAATAGAGCTCGAATATTGTTGAGTGTGACGTTAAACAACAAACGCACAACATAAAGGGGTAAATGGTGTTGTGTAGAGTTGTGTCCCTTATCTGTTCCAGAAACTTATGATAGTGGTATTACACCAAATCCACTCACTCAACAATGGATCCGGATGTCTTCAGTGAGGCTAAGGAAGATTGTCGTCTAGTTCATGGCATCATTGTTAACATGAAAGTTGCGATGCTGTTGCCTTGAAAATCGTACGATTAATCATTCATCGATCATATTTTTAACAAATCAATAACTTTATCGCTTATCACTACATTGTTTCCTAGAAATGTTCAGATGGTTGGCATCAACCAGCAGGTGTGATGTCGGATCTAAGTCGCGTTTAACAATGTTCCAGCAACATAATTTCGCGTCTTGAAAAGACGAACCAGTGATTGACATCATGAGCATCGATCCACGCAATTGGGATACGATGACATGCATCAACCAAGTCAGCGAGTCTGTCCACCCGATCCCGTAAGTCGCCTTTTACGACAATCATAGTCGCCTTTCACGGCAAGAATGGGTTGCTGAAGACCTATTCTACCCCGGATCTTCACGGGCCCCAGCAACATCAAGAAGGTAGACACCAGACAACATCAAGAAGCTAAACACCAGAAATAGGCTTCACACTCATCACCTAAGTGGGTTATCGGACCCGGTAGCTTGATGATGAAAGAACTCTTTAACCACCAGGTTACCGATTCGCCCCTATGTAATAATGTAAGAGTGTACGTTTTCCTAAGTAAATAAACCGACAGCGGAAGCATAATATTACTTTGTATAAAACTGAATCGACAGATCATAACGGCTTCGTGTGACAAGACTAGCTGAGATCAAAACGATAAAATACAATTTCGGGAGCTGATTAAATTAAATTGTATCAAGGCTTTATCAACGTTGCAAAAAACATCCCGGAAAATCAGGAAATTCTAATTTACAAGGACAATGGTGAAACTAAGAAGTAAAATAAAAACTCACCTAAATAACGGCAAAATTATCTGTTGACCATCGTGGCCACAATGCGTCTGTCAGTGTAGCAGCTTGTATATCCAGTTAGACGGAAACCTACAAATAAGAAGAGAAGCTGTCACTGCACATGACATTGGCGGCATGGCACGCTCTTGGGGAAAATCGATGGAACAAGATGGTTGTAGGATGTGAGCGGGCGTCCGTCGCTGTCATCAACACTGGATTGGTGTTTACCTTGTCCGTGGGCGCTGTACGTGACATCGGGAGATTGTTTGACATTGGTAGTTGACCAATCTAGGTTTGCTGTGTTTACGAGATCCCAGACTTGTTATTCGCCCCCCGGGTGTGACTGTCATAGTTAATCAGAGATTATCACGCGGAAAGAAAGAATGGTGATTTGCTCCATTGCTTATCATCTCTGTTATCTCACTTTCCCAACTTTCCCAACTACAATTGGCGTCATCTTGTCTGTTTGTTGTTTAACGTCGCATTCAGCAATATCCTAGCTATATTACGGCGGTCTGTGTATAATCGAGGCTGGACCATACAATACAGTGATTGACATCATGAGCATCGATTCCCGCAATTGCGATACGATGACATGCATCAACCAAGTCAGCGAGCCTGACCACCCGATCCCCTTAGTCGCCTCGTACGGCAAGCATGGGTTGCTGAAGTTGGGAATAGCCGGAACTTTCCATATTCACTAATGCAACTGCATTATTAAACTGAATGACTTTTATAATGCAACTGCATTAGTAAACTGAATGACATTTTATAATGCAACTGTTATTTAACTGAATGACATTTTAAAATGCAACTGCATTATTAAACTGAATGACTTTTATAATGCAACTGCATTAGTAAACTGAATGACATTTTATAATGCAACTGTTATTTAACTGAATGACATTTTATAACGCAACTGCATTTTTAAACTGAATGACTTTTATAATGCAACTGAATTATTAAACTGAATAACATTTAATTATTCATTCATAAAGTTTGGGATATATGGGAAAAAAGTCCGGTTCGAGCCATAGTTTAGACCGAATTGCGTATTTATTCTTAAGATTTATATTATGTGTATTTGTGCATCTCAAACTATGACCGCTTTATTCCTGTTAGCCGCTGGTCCGTCTTGCGGTGACGATTCACTGAGACATAATTGTGTTCTTTGTGGTTACAGTCTTAAAAAACATTCACTCTTTCTTATGACAACCTTCGTCATTGAGACATTTTTGGCTAAATGTGCAATACAATTATTGCCAACGAAAGACAAAGAGACGAGCAACAAAAGTAATCAGTTATCGATCACTATATTAGGTGCGCCGTGATCCATCAGGACATAAAGATATGTCTATTTCCTTTGGGAACAATATATACGAACATCAACAGTGCTTAAAAAATGTAACCCATAGCAAACAGCTAGCGAGTGTGAAATCTTTATTCTTTCATCCGATCCAATTTCAAACATGGCCCCGTGGGAGTATTCAGAGTATCATTGCCTTGCCAATAATGTACTATCAATACTACATTAGATTTGACCCGTGAAGATCCGGGGTAGAGTAGGTCTTCAGCAACCCATGCTTGTCTTAAAAGGCGACTATGCTTGTCGTAAGAGGCGACCTACGGGATCAGGTGGTCAGGCTCGCTGACTTGGTTGATGCATGTCATCGTATCCCAAATGCGTGGATCGATGCTCATGATGTTAATCACCGGATTGTCTGGTCCAGACTCGATTATTTACAGACCGCCTTCATATAGATTGAATATTGCTGAGGGCGGCGTTAAACAACAAACAAACAAATTTAATGTTTGTTTCTTTGTTTGTTGTTTAACCTGGATCTTAAAGTACATACCACATTAGAAACATACGTGATACATATTTATGCTTCCGTTCTGTGTGAAGCCCATTTCTGGCGTCCCCCGCCGTGATATTGCTCGAATATTGCTAAAAGCGGCGTAAAACCATACTCACTCACTATGCTTCCGTTCGACACCGTAAGAATAAATGAATTAAAAAATATGTTTCGCACCTTATATGACTGACAAGTTGTATTATGTTAAAAACAATATTCCTGTCTCTCTCAATCTAAAAAAATTTTTTTCACGTCCTGTAAAACCACCTGTACTCGAATTAGAAATTAGACATGTGCGTTGATGATTCTGGCCATGGTACAATGGATATATTCTTCAAAAATCTTAGATTTGTTTTGTCGCTGTGACGTTTAAATTTAATAAATGCTACATTATTTTGGTAATTGAAATGCTAAAGCACTGTCAAGTATTATTCAAAATCATATTGTTAGACCTAAACCACACAGATGACCTACAACGTGTACATACTGTATGACGAGAGATCGTTTTAACCCACAAAGCGAACCTATGATATACAGTAATAGAATACAAATGGGATAACTCTAGCCTAAAAATGGCATCTCTACTACATTTCGATGTTATAATTTCGGCACATATCTCCAACACTCCACACTAGTGTAATATCCTTCACTTACCCGTGAAGATCCGGGTTAGAATAGGTCTTCACTAACCCTTGCTTGCGTAAGAGCCGACTTACGGTATCGGATGGTCAGGCTCGCTGACTTGGTTGATGCATGTCATCGTTTCCCTATTGCGCGTATCTGCACACAAATACCAATCGCTGGATTGTCTGGTTCAGACTCAATTATTTACAGACCGCCGTAATATACAAGTAGCTGGCATATTGCTGAGTGCGCAGTTAAACAACAAACTGATCAAACCTAGAAGTGGCAAGGCCGTAGCAAGTAGATCAGTTGAGTTACAAAGAGAGGGAGTAATTGGGCATATTTTGGACGATCAGGACTATGCATATTTGGCAATGCAAATCGGGGAATGAATACCCACAAACAGGCTAAGCTTCGGGCAGAATATATATCTCGTTTAATGAAAACTGGAGTTCAGCGCGTAATCCTTGAAGTTAGGTCAAACCACCAATACATGTGACGTGCCTGTCCTTTTGTATTCCGGTGGGGTGGTTAGTTGGACAACAAGATATAAAGAGTCTTGACCGCCTCACAAAATTACCATGTATGATAATAGAACTCATAACACTCGTTCGCCTCTTAATCCTTATACTAATCAATTCTGGAGGTCGGCGTGTGATTAATGTAGAAGCTCCTCAGGATTTTAGTTTGTACATATTTATTTATCGGATGATCAACACACATAATGAAAGCAAGGGACTTCCACGCCTAATGAAAATGTACGTCTGGACAGAATCTCTTTTATGATGTTAATTTTAATTTGTTGATGTCTACTGATGCACGGCACTGAGATGAGTCAACCAGGTGAAGTCCATGACCAAAGCTTCTCTGATTCAGCTCTTTGATGAGACGCTTTCTGGGAAACCACTGCATCGTGTATATGTGCAGTGTGTCGAACAGAATAGCAACGCGACTGACTTCGTAGCCTAGATGAAGTCGGCCCGTTTCAAAGGTGAGAGAGAGAGGGCTTTCTTTGGCTGCCCAGGACCTGTCACTTCCAACTACAACTCCAAAATGTTATTGCCCCATTAAGAACCGCGTCAGTTATTCTTCAGCAACCCATGCTTGTCGCAAGATGCGATAAACGGGATCGGGTGGTAAGTCAGATACATGTCATCGTTCCCCAATTGCGATGCTCACTAGCTTGTTTGGTCCTGACTCTTTCATTTACATTTAACCTCATATGGATAGAATATTGCTCAGTGCGACGTTAAACAAAAAACAAACAAAAAAGAAACAAAACATTTTATTCTTTAGGATTGTGCAGTGAATGTAATTTGCATCCAAAGTATACAGCTGCAGACGTCAGATTTCCAATTGTTCTCGGTGACCTCGGTTTGATACCTCTTGATTTCTATTGGGCAAATGCCCAGGTTTCTGCTCTTCATAGGAGGAGTACCATGTGCTGTCTGGGTTGCGTGTCGAAGGGGCTAGAGCCCTGAGCTAAGCCTAACCATCCTGATGTGTCAGGACCACCCAACCCCTCTGCTTCATTTTTAGTTTAATCTCTATATACTACTACTACTACTACTACTACTACTACTACTACTACCCCAACGACCCCTCAGAAAACAACAATTGAGCACTGTGAATCTATACTATCCCAACGAGCCCACGGGAAAACACAAAAAGAGCACTATGATTTGTTTGTTGTTTAACTCCGCACTCAGCAATATTCCAGCTATATGACGGCGGTCTGTAAATAATCGAGTCTGGACCAGACAGTCCTGTGATTGACATCATGAGCATCGATCCACGCAATTGGGATACGATGACATGCATCAAACCATGTCAGCGAGCCTGACCACCCGATCCCGTTAGTTACCTTTTACGACAATCATAGTCGCCTTTTACTCTTCACGGGTCAGAGCACTATGAACCTCTCTAACTCCCATGGACCCGCAAGGAAACACCAAGGGTGTACTAGGGACATAGTCTACTCCAAAATATCAACAGGGTCTTAAAAGAAAGAAATTTGTCTTAACGTTGGGGAAACATGCATATTGGACAATTCATGATCAGTTACGATAGGTATCACCACCATCGACATGGGCGGAAGTCCTCTGCGGCTTCCAGTCCTATGTCGTTAAGATAGCCAACCCCTCAATCTGGCACACTACCACTATCTGGCAACCGGAAATGGAAGCCGCAAACGAAATCAGATACGATCAATCAAGTGAAAAGTAGCACGCTGGGGCTCTCTAAAATAATGTCATTCAGCCATACTATTGCCTTAAGCACATATACCGAAAACTAAACATTGAAATTTTATTCATAAAAAAATGCCGCCGAATTGCCATACGCACACATGTAAAGAAAAATGCGAGTATTACCAATGCTTTTAGAAGCTTTATTACCAATCAAAACAGAGTTGACTTTTGAATTTCAACGTTATGATATAATATTGCTAAATTAGTGGGTAACAAAACTAAACACGATATCTGAGGTTGCAGGAAAAAGCTGCTGAATTCGGAAGCGAGGACAGAGCTTGTAATTATCAGTAAATCTCTAGCTGTCATTAGTGTTTAGTATTATCACATGGCGAGGCTCCCCCACCACTACCCAAGACCCCACACTCAGCCAAAA